TTTTAGGGTTCTGCTGGAGAAACTGGGTAAAATCTGTTTGGTATGCATGGGTTATAAATAAACTGGATATGAACTAAGCTTATTCATAGCTCCTGGAAACATCACCTTAAGTCTCTCCCAAAGCAGGTGACTCTCCACTATGCCTGTTACATTTTTCTCTCTCCTGCTCTCCTTTTGATAAACATCCTACTATGAAACCTAAAAAGCTAGTTCACTACTTTAGGGCATTCATTTGGTCCTAACAAAGCCATTAATGCTACCATCTCTAGATAATCCTGTAATCATATTCCCAAGTACAAAATGATTATTCCTTCACAACTTTATCTCTTCTCCACTTTTTAATGGCTGTACTTTGTTCTGTTGCATCCTTTTTAAATTAAGCATTCAGTTCATTCCATGTGCTTGTAGAATACTTTAACATCCTTCCAACATTTCCTCCTCTTAAAATGTACTTAATCTTCTAACATCAGACACATGAATGAGCATAATTTTTTACAATAAGTTAAAATTAAATCATTTATGTTTGTTACCAATCTCTTTTTGTATGATTTGTATGATTCATTCTTGTCACTTGTAAGTATATTTCAGTTTTACTTGTGACTGATCTACATTTCAAAATTGGAAGACAAAAAATTGATACCGATAGTTTTATAAGAATGTTCTCAAGTTCTAGGAAAATAATTGGGGAAAGGTCTTGATATCGTAACAGTACAGTCCTAAGCAGAGTTGTACTTTAATTGCAACTTTGCTTAGAAATGTACTGTATCAATATCATACTCCTAAATCCTGTTCTTCTTTCTTCGGATCAAGTTACACATTATATTGGAGATCCATGATTGTATTTCCCAGTGTTTCCCATAATGAGGGATGATTCCAAGTTTTGGAGGGCCTTGGGCAGAGAGTGTCTGGGCCCTTCTATCTTACTCACTGCAATGTCCCCTGCCTGTGCCCCCCTTCTGGCCCACCTGCCCACATGGATCCTTCCCCTCCATCTCTCTGACTTTCAACCCCTCCCATTGCCTAAATTCCCAGTTGCATGCACTGCACACATGACTTTATTCTGACAGCACCAGGCAGCATGTGTGACCACAAGCACAGGTTGAAGGAGCAGGTAGGCATCGAGGGTGCAGGCTGGGGGCAGTGGCAGTGGGCCCCACCAGAAACCTGAGCCCCAGCAGCTGCTTTACTGGGGGGGGGGGTATGCTGACACTGGTCCTACCTATAACACATACGACAACATTTCTTTTCTAACATAGTTAATAGCAGCTACAGGACGATAGAGTTCTATAAGGGAAGTGCCATGTGAAGAAGGGAGGGAAGGATTAACACCCCAGTGCTGCTTTGTCATGTTTAGGGAAAATATCAGGGAATCCTGCCATGGCTTTCCCACCTAGGTACTCTCAGAATCCAAGAGGATTGGGCTACTTCCAGCTTTTAAGGCCCTAGCATAAAAAAAGTAAAAAAATAACAACATATGAAATCAAAATCTGATTGGCCGTGTCCCCATTTAATGTGTTGTTTGAGGCTTATAGAATGAAGTATGTTTCTAAATTTATAGTTTCTCACGTCATGAAACCAAGGCCGTCCGAGTGCGTTACCATGCTTATCAAACCATGATCACATTCAGGCTGTGATTTAACTGTGATTAGGGAATAAATTAATAAAGGTAGGATCATGGTGGTGCTTGGTGCCACCATCTATTGCGTAAGCATACAAAAGCCTGGAACTAGAAAGAATCTTCATCTGAGATCTTCAGTTTAACTAACTTATTCCACCTTTTAGAGCTTCTGCGTATAGCCCCTGCCTTTCTCTGTTCAATTCTGCAGCAATATGACTCCACCACTTAGAAAAATCCCCTGCTTAGAACAAATATGAAAATCCTAGTTTCTAAAATCTAGGAAATAACCACTTAGGCTAATACAGTCCCATTAAAATGAATTGGAGTACATTAAAATGAATTGGAGTACATGTGTCTGTCAAGTGGTAACTGAAATGACCCCTTGGTTGCTTTAGTCTGTGATTTCTTTGCTTACATACTTGATTTGGTGCTATCATTTTTCTTGCATTTCTGTTCTGATTTTATTTCAAGAGACAAATAATCAGGCCTTTTCCAGCTCATGATTGAACTAAAATACTGCTTCAAAATGGCATTGAAGTGCCAGTACATGTTGACAAGCGATGCAGCTGCAGTAATGAATCGCTCTTGAAGTCTCCCAAATCAGTATAAAAGGTGAGAGTATACCATGAGCTTGAATGCCATAGTTAATTCAGGAGAGGTTAAGAGGCTGTGAGCACCACAGGGCTTCATATAAAAGAAAACGCTTACATTAGATAGAATTTTTTTCATCTCTTCTAGAAGCTTTCTGTTTTAGACCATTCAAGAGCCAGAAATAGATGCTGACACTATTACATATTTTAGCTCTATGCAGAATATTTGTATATGGTAGCAAAACTAAACTGCTATAATGCATTGCTATGGTTCTTGAAGTGATTTGAGTCCATATTGTCTCTTACTAGTGTTTGCTTAGTGATGTAAAGTATCGTCAAGTCGCAACCAATTTATGGTAACCTCATAGGGTTTTCAAGGCTAGAGACTAACAGAGGTGGTTAGCACTTGCCTGCCTCTGTGTAGCAACCCTATACTTCCTTGGTGGTCTGCCACCCAAATACTAACCAGGGATGACTCTGCTTAGCTTCCAAGATCTGATGAGATCAGGCTAGCCTGGGCCATCCAGGTCAAGGGAGTAGTTGCTTGGGTACCTTATAACAGGACATTTTTTAAAGGTAAGAGATGTGGCCTCTGATTTTAACAAACTGTAGTCCGATTGATGGGAGAAAACAATAGATTGAATCTCAAGAACCATGAGTGGAGTTCTGTTCTTGGAATGCATCTTTTCTACCTCTTCATGTCTCCTTCAGGCCTGCCCCAGTCACCTGAAAAACTTCCTGAGGGTGGGGAACCTATGGGAACAAACTAGGGTGTACCATGAAAGGGAGCCTGCAGTATGAATAGGAATAATGGACTGCCCCTTGTACTAGCAGGAATACCTTTGTATCCAACCCCCAAATATCTGTAGGACGCCGTATCCTTACAGCAATAGTACATACGGATTAATGACATGGAACGTAAGTATATTATAGAAAATGGTATTAATCTGGCCAAGAGTACTGCTTGGTTCTATAGCAGTTCTATTCATTTTAATGAACCACGATTGCCATTAGGTCTGGATATTCTAAATATTCAGTGCAACTCTGAACAAGTCATGGTGTCCTTTGAATTTGCTGTTATTCCCCCTTTATTTAGAAAAACCATATTCAGTCCCCCCACCCCCCGGTATGAAATGGTGACAGCATAATTCCTATATTTGCCAAAAGTTGATCTCTGTGTGGATGGGCAAATCTTCACAATGGGGCCAGATACAGACTTCATTCAGGATTTTTCAATTCTGACGGACATCCCAGAATACTAGAGAAATACTACTTTTAATACTGTGACACTTGTCATAGCGAACACCCTCTTCCAACAAGCTAAGAGGCAACTCTACACAGACATCACCAGTTGGGAAACACTGAAATCAGATAGATTATATCATTTGCATGAGGCAGAATGTTTCTTTTGTGTAAATTCATTCTTCCCCTTATGTGTATTGAATAACCCACACCAGTATGATTCCTTTACACAATTATACTTTAAAAAATTTTTGAAACAATCCATGCTTGGAACTTAAGATATTATACAAAGCATTAATTTCCTTGATTTTGTAAGAATAACATTTAAAATTAGGCCTAACATTTTTTCCCCTTGGGGTATTTTTGTATCCTGCAAATATAGCTCTCTGTGGTGAGGTAAATATCTTCCAGGTTATCAGGAAGGGTCATCAGATTGTAATCAAAGGCTGCATCTCACCAGACCACTTAAAATGGTTCCCTGGCTCAGTGTTTTCTTAAACTTGGAGCATTTTTTTTAACCCCAATATGCTAAATGTGCTTGGCCTAAAAAGGCAATGGCAAAATGCATAGATTTCTGGGTTGTGGTTTGTTTGGCTTTTTTCTTCTTGTATTCATACTTTGTGGTTTGTTTGTGGTTTGTTTGGCTTTTTTCTTCTTGTATTCATACTTTTTTTGTTTACTGAAAACAAACTAAGTTGTAACTGTCTATAATTTGGGATCACTGTTTACTACTGTATATGTGAGAATGCCTTAAGAGGGCAAAGTTTCACAGCAACTTGTCTGTGCATTCTGCCAACAAAAATGCAACTGGAGTAGGCAACACCCCAAGTTTGGACAAAGAATTGAAAAACAGCCTTATTTGGGGGGTACTCCTCAAATCAATAGCAACACCTGTAACTTTAAAATGACTGAGTTTAGACAGCACTTGTGGTTGTTGCAGCTACTCAAAATGGTGTGTGGACATTGGCAGCACTGAGCTAAAGGAGGCAGGGGGGCTGCAAGAAGGACACAAAGTATATGATGTGGAGAAGGAGAACTGGTGACACTGGCAGTGGCATTGGCAGAAGGAAATCCAGTGGGGGCAGGAGAGAGTAGAGAAACTGGAGCTTGAGGGAGGGAGAAATGGGATTTCCCCTCCCCCACAAGGCCCCTCAGATGCTTAAATGTCTTGAAATGTTTTAAAGCTATGCAACCAGATGCTAGAAAATGAGATTGTGGTTCACTAAAAAAGAAGAAGAAGAAGCTTTTAAGTAATTTTCAGACAGGTTTCTTCCTTTTTCTTTCTTTTTACAAAGTGTAATGTGCATGGGTACTAGTCCACTTAATAGAGCCTTCATTGCATATTACTTATAAAATAACAGATAAATGACCAGTCACAAACTACTGTTACAACAAGCAGACCTTCTTGTAAGTGTTTCCAGATTAAGCACATGGAATTACCATCTATGCAGAATGGGTCTCTAAAACAGTTTGAGTAGAGCAATAGCATAATCATAATAGAATGAGTTACAAAGGTCAAGTGCAAGAGGAATTAATAAAATAAGTCTTACCTTATTCAAGTCAAAAGTATTGAACACTTGATCAACATAATATTCTGCCTCTGAATTCATACCATGCAGACCCAGAAAGGCTTTGCATTCATACAAGCTCAATTGCCCCGATGGGCAATCCTTCATAAATTTGTTGTACCAGTTATAGGCGTCTTGGATGTTGATTTCTCCAGATTCATTGGCACCCATTGTACCACACAGCAGAAATAATTAATTTTCAGTGCTTATTCATCCACCTTATTTCATATCTTCAGTGGCATCTACCCAGCTAAAAGCCACCCACAGCGGAGTTACTTTTGTTTAAGCCCATGGATTTCAATGGATTTAGACTGGAGTAACTGCATAGGACTGCACTGTAAACCTATTACATGATGAGGGCAGATGCAGGCTAAACAAGAATAGAAACTTGAGTGAGATTAATGTCACCTCCCAGTTTTAAATAAAAAGAGATCTATAAATCAGGTATACCCATTGATTTGTTCAAAAAGTAGCTTATTTCCAGAGACTTCATAAACCATGCCTTGCATTTTAGTGACCCCTCCCCCCAATTGTCATGCTTTCCCACAAGTATTCAGGCTTTACATTTGCATGTAATTATTGCTGACAAACATCTGACCCAGGTCAAGAGCATAATTACTGTGTCCTGATAGTGATGGGGCAAGAAGTTATACAGGAAATAGCAAGAAGATGAAGCACTATAAAGCTATAGATGGATGATGTCTCTATTTATGGCCTATTACGCACTCACAGCTTACTGCAGAAAATCCAAGCAGTCATGCCTTTAAGCTTGAGTTTGCATTCTGTGCCTACCATATACACCATTCTTCCCCCGCCTCCCAGTGTATTTATTCTGCAGCTACAACCAAAAAACACAGTTTTCCTTAATTGGGGTTGGAATGTTACCTGTGACATGTGGGGGATGGTGTCCAAAGGGTTTTTTAAATGTACACAATTACCCTATTGCAACTGCGCAGTAGCGCTTCCATTTAAATCCTCCTGGCTCAGTTCTGTGAATGAAAGGGAGCACAAAGGAACACAGGCAAATTTTTTTAAAAATCCTGAAATTGACCAAACTATTTTTGAAACTGAGTAGAACAACTGTGAAACTCATTTTTCTTATTGCCAAGTTGTAATGGATTCTCTGTTTTATTGGCCACTGTGAAACATGGAAAAGAGTCACCACCCTCTGCCATCCCCCTCTTTCATTGCCACACAAGGGCCATTTTGAATGATTTAAAAATTATTTTCCTCATAGTTTAAATTTTTTAATAAGCGGTACGAGACTAGTGATAAAATGTTAATTTAAATCCACCATATGCAAGAGAGTGCACAGTAATGCCCCTCTGCAGGCACAACTTTGCACTGCCTTCTCTTGCTGCCTGGTTTAAACCAGGCCGCAGGAGAGGGCAACCCACCCAGGATCACTGTGCCTGTGGAGAGCTGAGAGTAGTGATAGTTTCATATCGCTAGACTCATGCTGCTTGTAAAAAAATGTAAAATGTAAAACAATGTGGGGAAAGATAATCAATGGAGCTTGCACACTGATGAATTATGGAATGCACAGAGTGAGCGGGAACGACCTTGATGTCGGCGGGGGAGTGACCTTTGAGGGGCAGCAAAGGGGCAGGGGGAATCCAAGGGAATCTGTATGCTTTTGAATTACCTTCAGCTCAGAAGCAAAACAAAGGAAAAATCAGCACATAATCAGTCTCAGAAAACCCGGGAAAATGGCAACTGGAAAGCGAATTGAGTGTTGAAGGGGGGGAAATCAATGCAGAATGAAAAAGAAATCCCCACGAAGATTCACAGCAAAAGTGAAGGAAAACACCTGTGTGTAATAGACCTATATCTCATGGGTTTTAGTCTAATTTATTTCTTACAGTAAATGCTTGGGGTTGTTTGGGCTAAGAAATGTTTTTGGCAGAGCATTTTTTGCTGAACAATGACAAGTGAGAAATGTCAATCCCTATTAAGGTTCCCATTTGTCTGCTTATGGTAGGAAATCTCTAAGTAATTGCAGCCTGTGCCTGCCAATGCTCAGCTGATTGGCAGGCAGAAACTGGGGCCAAAGGGCAGGGCATGATTGTCCTGGGGAGAAAATGAAAAAAGAAAAATAAGGTAGCTCTAGCAATCACAGAAACTCAATGGTAATCTTATCACAGAATTTCTGGCGATTGCTAGAGCTGCTTTTGTTATTTCCAGGTAACCTTAGGAATCACCAGGGACCCTTTGGTCAGAACTTCTAGTAAGTAAGCGAGGCCTTATTTTTCTTTTTAACCCCCCCCCCCCCGGATGCTACTCCCCCCAAAATTTCCCTGCCCTGGTTGCTAGGCATGGCCTGGCAACCCTAACTCCTATGTATAGTGTCTACATCCTATCTATGGGACTACACAAAGGTTAAAATCAAAACAAGGCCTTGCTGATTATGATCTAAAACCACAAAACAAATGAGGAGAACGGAAAATGAGATGTGATGATGGTTTGAGAAGATAATCTGGGATAAGCGTACCTCTTCAGTAGTTGACTGCATATGATGATGGCAGGGGTATGAACTGGCTTGCAAGAAGAAGGGAAGTTCCAGTGAATAAGCAGAGATGATAGCTGAGTCTGGATTTTACTAAAACTCTTAGAAAGCATATTAAAGAAGATGGTCTCATCAAGGCTGCCCAGGGCCATCATAATAAAAATTCCCTCTGATCCCCCCTCACATTTTAAAGGACAGATATGAGATTTAATAGAACAGCTGTTTTGTTACTTCCATAACCTCTTACACAGAATCATAGAGTTGGAAGGGGCCTCCAGGGTCACCTAGTTTAAGCCCCTGCACAATGCAGGAAATTTTCAAATACCTCCCCCTCTACACCCCCAGTGACTGCTATTCCACACCTAGAAGATGACAAAAAACCTCCGGGGTCTCCAGCCAAAGTGGCCTGGAGAAAAATTGCTTCCTGACCCCAAAGTGGCGATCAGCATTTCCCTGGGCGTGTAAGAAAGGGCCACAAGAACTAAGCACTGAGGCAACCCTCCCTCCCCTCCCTCTCATGCCTAAGTTCACAGAATCAGCATTGCTGTCAGATGGCCATCTAGCCTCTGTTTGAAAACCTCCAAAGAAGGAGAGCCCACCACCTCCCGAAGAAGCCTGTTCCACTGAGGAACCCTGTCAGGAAGTTCTACCTAATGTTTAGCCGAAAACTCTTCTGATTTAATTTCAGAACATACAGAACACCTTTAAATTACAAACTGATAACGTCATTCATGTCAACTTTTAAGCATTTAAGATAAACAATGTTTTTGTTTAATGTAGTGTTCTGCTAGTGATCATGCTCAAAGTGCCTTTCCCTACCAAGCAACTGTAACCAGTTCCTACCTCACCCACACAAGTTAACAAGATAGAATGACAAATTGCATGACATGAAGCCTTTCTCTTATTTTTAAGCACAATTCCCTCAGACATCCTGTACAGTCTGACACATTATTAAAAAATCTTTTTAAAAGGCATAGGTCAGATTTCTTCAAAAAATTTCATTGGTTCTGTAGATCAGACGTTACAATGATGCCGTCTTTTTAAAAACCATAGCTACCAAAGGTGACACATTTTATTGCCACTTCCTAGATTCTGTAAGTTTTAAACATGACCAGGCAAGCTGCAGAATGAACAGTGGTAATGACTAGAACATAAGCAGTAGAAATTGAAGACCAATCAGAATAGTGTCTCTAGCTTGTAAAAGCAGCAGTTTTGTTTAGCACCCTGGAGATCTAGTCAGCTTTGAACAGGAAGCCTTAATGTTGTTTTACAGAAATACTCCAATATATTATTTCTGGTTCCTGGTATTAGAGTAATTTTGTGCCATTATGATCCGAATCATTCACCCTCAAACATTTATTTGGGTCAAGAATCCTTGCTTACTTTTAAAAACAATCACAAAAGCATTAGAGGTCAACTCCCATGCTCTTCAAGCAGTATTGACCCAGATAATGATGAGCTGGTAATAAGTACGTGAGCCAGTGACCCCTGACTTGGAGACCTTGGAGGCTGGAGATTACCAGGGGTCTTGTTGTAGAAAAAGAGCTGCCGGAGCTCATTAGCATAACTCATTAGCATAACTTATTTGCATATGCCACGCCCCCTGACATCACCGGAAGTGACAGAAGGCCACACCCCCTGACATCACCGGAAGTGTGTCAGAAGGCCCGGCTACTTACCCTCCTGCTTCATCCTCATTCCCAAACGGAATGAGGATCGAAGCAGAGGGCGGGGTAAAGAAGGGGGCGGGGCTTCACCACGTGACTGCCCCGCCCCCTAGAGGTTCTCTTCCGGAGCTCCGTACCTGAGAGCTCCCCCCCGACTAGAGCCCTGGAGATTACTATCTAAGACTTCCAGATTCCTGTGTTATAGGTGCTAGCACAGCAACATTCTAGCAAGAATTCCTGAAGTGATGGTGATGTGCTGGGTTATGATGACCCAGGGACTTACCCTCCTAAGACATAGTGCATTCTTTGGAAGGGTGGCAGTAGCTCAGTCACAGGAGGACAAAAAATACTAAGTGGGAACATGTGATTTATCTAGGGTTCTGGAACTCAGTTGCTGACTGCCTAGTTCCTGCTATGGTAGGGAACTGGATTCCTGACTCTTGAAGGGATGCTGTGTCTCACACCGTTTCTTGTAAATCTGCTCTATCATGCTGGACCTTGATTACTCCAAACAAGCACTGAATAATTTACTTTTCTATGCCTTATAGACTTTTGGTAGTATTCCATTTTTTCCCTATAAACCCCAAACATCCATTTGCTAATATGTAGTACAACAAACTATTTAAGCATATAGGCAGGTGTAGAAGGTTTAGATCCATAGACAAAATAGTGCAGTTGATTAAAAATTGATTTATTATTAGGAAATCATATTATATGGAATTCAAACAACATAGAATATTCAATATTGCTGATATAAAGTTATTGACTGAAGAAACAAACAGTATCCCTGGATTTATGATTTATAACGAACTGAAAAATTGCAATGACTTAGAATTTCAATAGCTGTGGCATAGCTGGATACCAGGAGATTTGGAGTTGATATTAGGGATTACAGACATGTTGTCTGTAATATTGACTATTGAAAATGTAATATAGCTAAAGCTTTTTACCTGGACTCAAGCAGTTAATGCATTTTTAAATTTTGAATGACTGAGGAA